GGTGTCTGAATGCTGTTGGGGGAACCTCAAAAGCCCCAAAGAAGTTACTGTTAGGGTTTTAAGTGGCAAAATTTCTCTCATCTCTAAAACCTAGTTGGTTCTTTTGAGATCCCGCCTTATCCCTTCATGCGTACAGCCTCGATCTACATTTCCTTTTTGCCTGGTTTTTGACCATTTTCATTGGCCGCTTTACCATTTGTTTTATGTGTTTTTGGTTTATCGACTTCGACAAAGTATAATATCAGCCTGCCAACATAACACTTGGGCATATAAAACCATTGAAAAAGAGAAAAGAAAAAAGAGAACCACAGTATAATATAAACCTTGTTGGTAGTTTTTTGTACATTTTGAACAAAAATTTTCAGGATTTTTTTTTATTCGTAGGAATCATGAAACTGGCCATGGAAATATAATGAGAGTTGCAGCTATAAAGCTGCAGAATAAATTGATTCTGGAAAACTAGTACTGTAATATTAATTAATTAATTAATATATATGAACAAGACCTGTCTTACATACTGTCATTCATTCATTTGAGGATGCTTAAATTAATATTGCGTTCATTCGAGGTAGACAAGTTTCAAATAATACCTTCTTTTTTTTTTTTAATAAAAGAGGTCATAACTTGCACTAAAAATAATAATTCAGAACGTTTGCTAATAAAATTAGTACTTATTTCAGTTTTCGAAAGATCATTCAAGGACAACATATTGAAAAATTTTCTGTGACATATCATTAGTTTCAATTAGGCAAACGAGGTGAGCTTTCAATTTCTTATAAACATAAACTTAAAAAAAATAGAACACAATTATTATATTTATTAAAATTAGAAAGTGAAATTCAAAGTAAATGAACATTAATTACTATTAATTAATGAAACAACTTCTTTTAACAAAAGACAGAGATTGGAAATTCTTGCAACCTTAAGGCCTGGACCACAATTTGAACATGTAACTCTTTTTCCAGATCAGCATGATGCAGGGTTGGATATTTTTCTCTTTCTTTTTTAAGAAGTAGAAAAGCTTGATTCTCTATGGATTAGAATTTGTTCATTTGTAGCAACTCCTCGACATGCATGCACCTTGGCTACTTGTTTGGAAGCTTCATTTGGCCAGGACTCCCATGCCTTTTTATGATTCTATGGGAACACGCCGAATCTCTAAATATATTATACCTAGTAACTGATCTGTTCTGATTCTCTTTCAACCTTTTTTGGCTCTTCAACAGTCTTCCTCCCTCTTTTCATTGAGAGTTTAATACATGCCATTAGTGGGAAATATTCCATATTCGTTCGTACTCCCTCGCTTTGGAACTTTTTTCCATATCTTTTCTATCTTTTTTGACTCCATTCTCATGACATGAGAATTGGACTAGACTAACATTAAATCATGAGTTTCAGTTTAATGAATTAATGTTCAAACTTTAAGATAATTAAGTGATTAGTGAGGAAGAATAGTAACTCCTTAACTACTAAATTTTTATATAAAAATCAGAACACATTTTTTATTTAACAAATTCATTTTCATTTCTCATAGATTCTTTGCTTCAAGTATATATGTATATCTGAAAATAGTCTAATAATTCTTCATCATTGTACTCTAACAAGTATGCTTAAAAATTATTTGAAGGGAAAAAATATGTCCAACAAAGAAAAGAAAGGAAGAAAGAAGGTGCAAAATTAACAATTCCAAAATTTGTTTCAGGTTTTCATTCATTTTCAGAAGGCTATCATTATCGTCATCCTTGCAAACTCCTCATATATAGCTGACTACTCCATCGACGTCTAAGTCAGCTTCTCTGATCATCTGTTCTGCTTCTTCCACTGTTAGTCTTTCTCCCAAATTCATCATTACTTGTCTCAACCGCACTCCAAAGATGGGATTTGGTTAAGTCGATGGATAAAGATTAATTAATTCCCCCACATTTAACTGAATCAGATCATTGAGATCATATGTAGAATCTAGAAACAGACAAAGGTGTGCAGCACATCGCACCAGCCATTTCTGAATGTGAAAAAGGACTCTCATATGTAGGAGAAAATCAGAAAAGCCCTATTAACTAAATGTGGAACAAAGCCAAAAATTGTTGTACGTGCTGTCTGTCAAGTTCATGTGACAATTGAGGAGATCAATTCAGCGCAAACATAGGCAAGAAAACCGATGCTATTAATTTTTTTTATTATTATTTTAGGTCAGAGTTCTACTATTTGACTTTTTACACTGGTTCAAACCTCAAAATATCTTAGGGAGTTAAAGACTAGTAGGGAGAAATAAAAGAGTGAAAACGATGTTGAAAATTGATCATGAGTTGCCAAATAACAGAATCAAATAGCCTTGCATGCTTGATAGATCTAATTGGCAGTACGGCCTATTACTTGTACAGTTCTTCTATTATATAGCACCCCTTTGATCTTGTTTATTTTGAATTATGTTCAATCCAAATATTGCAACAGAATTGTCAGCAGGCCTATATATGTTATTTTTTAATTTCTTGCCATAATCTTTAACAACTCTTCAAAATCAATGGTCTCATTTCCTTTAACATCAACCTCTTTAGTCATGTTTTGAACTTCCCATCTAATGTCTGGATCACTGACGCCAACTCTTCCATGGTAACGAAGCCTACATTTTAGATCAATGTATATGTTCAGAGAAGAAGCCGGAGGAAGATGCTTAAGAAATGCAAACTTAATCCTGCTAACTATGAAAAATGATAGTACATATGCCATCTGAATCTTTATCAATCAGGCAAAAGGCGGGTTTCAGCTTATAATTTGGAGCTGGCTATAAGTTATAACTCTATAGCAACATTAATGAAACCCTATCTAATTGATGAATGAAAGCTAAAGGATGTCGTGCTGCCTTCAATGTAAGATCACGTATGAGAAGGGCGTTGGTAAGGAATCATTGAATTAATGAGGCCTTGAATCGAATCCCAAAAAGGGGTTTTAAAATTTCAATGAAAATCTTTGGCCTAGACTTGGCATTCCATGTTGGAGTCAGCTAGACCATGACTTTTTATCTTAACAGGTTCATTTAGTTTGATTGAAGTGGATGAACGTAACAATCTCTGATTAAAATAAACTAAGACTAAAAAAAAAAAAAAAACTCAGAATATATATTTGGTTTAATGATCATTTCATCTTTTTTTTTAAAGAATTAAATTTGAATTCCTCCATTCACTAATATATATTAAAAATTTAACAAAAAATGGTGTTTCAACAAATTCTAGTCAAAGGGGTTATAGTTTAAAGATTTTTCTAGCATAGGATTAGGACAGATGCAAATCCCATTGTCAAAATAATCTTGATTTTCCTTCATAAAAAAATATTAATAATCTTGATTTTCCTTTCCTTAAAATAATGGGTATTTGACAAAAAAAAGTAGCAGCCAACCATTGAACAAACATTAAACCGATTTCATACGAAACAAGCATAGGGTAGAAAATTGGCATGGAAGATTTTCAAATGCCTTCAATTTGCAACCCAAATATTAGACTAATACCATAAAATCCAGGAAAAGATTAATTTATGTTTGAAAAAAAAAGTGTTTTTGGTAGATGGAATGCTGTAGAACTCAATTCTATTGACCAATGACCATCATGTGGGTTGAAAAACTTAAAATTCATTAATTTAAGGCTAATAATCTTGTTCTTCTGATTATTTTTTTTTTGTTGCGCTCAATTTTATTTATTTATTTTTTTTATCTTTGTTTACTTCTTACTCCTTTCAAACAAAAATACGCTTCTAGAGCCCAGACGTTTTTTTTTTAATTTTTTATTTTAGCCTTTTTTTTTTTAAAGGCTTTTTATTTTGTCATAAGTGGATGTAAAGAACTGATTAAAAAGTGAAATAAAAAAATGACAAGCAAACTAAACTATAAATATTTCATTTTGAAATTAAAATTATACATTATTTTATCATAAAAATTAGAATTTTAATAGTTTTATATAAAAAGAAAAAAAGAAAAAAAGTAATAATTCCATAACCGTGGAAGCTCATTAATTTTTTTTCATTTATACTGTTCTTAAAAATAAATTCATTTCTTGGTTTTATGGATGTATTGATTTTGCTAATTTAAAAAATTAAAAAAATAATTTTGAAAAAATTAAAAAAAAATATTCATATGATGCAAAGATAGTTCGATCCCTGTAGGTATTGAGTCTTCCTTCTAAGGGTAGGCCATACAGGCCCACAGCAAGCCAGCATGTAAGTGGGCGTGGACCATGCTTTAACATTTCAGTATTTAAGACAACTCGGTCCAAATGATTAGTAGTAATACTTTTTTTTTTTAATTTTGTAAATGAATGTCTTAGAAATAGTTTTTAAAATTATTTCAAAAAAATTATTTTATCTAAACATAAAAAAATTAAATATAATACAGTAGACATTTGAAAACATTATAAAATATTAGTAATGTTTATTATTATTATTATTATTTACTCTTCCACTTATTAAAATATAGTTTTTTAATTCAATAATAATAATAATAATAATAATAATAATATATTTTAATTTTTATCTATTTAACTCACAAGAAAATATCATGCGAAAAAATCTTATCGAGCATATCATCTTCAAAAATTTCACTAGAATTCATACCATTTAATTTAATACTAAATTTATATATTAATTACCGCTAATAAAAGCGTTTAGAAAACAAAACGAGACGACAAGAGATTAGATCAAACTCAAATCTAGGATATTTACGGAATTGACATCACCCAAAAGGAAAAACGAAAAACGAAAAAAGAAAAAATAAATGAAATGCTAGACTAATAGAACGCTAGGTAAAGTTTCTCAACAAAGGAGCGAAGCTTAAGGAAGCAGGCAGCAGCGCAGCGCGCTAACGCTCTCTTCGGTGAGCCGGCAACTATCGCCGCCAATTCTAGCTCGAGTTGCGGCTCTCCCCAGCATTGCCTTTCTCTAATCCTCTGTATCTTTTTTTTGGGCCTTTTTTTTCCCTACCAATTCGATCCATTTTTGTTTTCTGAACAGTTAATAGCAATCTTTTCTGTTATAAGTTAAAACGTTTTAGTTAAATTTCAAGCTTCTTTTCTCCTAAAAGAAGAAAAGAAAGAGTTTGAATGTGAAATTAGGGTTTAGGGTTTTGTGGTTTCCGTACGTTTGTTGTGATGCGTTAAATAAATTCTCAAACGAGACATTATTTAGTCGTAATTTAGACTCCTTTTATAAAAACGTGGATGCGAATGCATGTCATATTCGTAGATTTCTATGTAGGGCACGCAGCATTGGTTTGTTTTAGAGAATATAGATCGCTTGTAGCTTGCGAGGGTGTTTGGTGAATTAATCTGTGTTCCTTTTTGGCTGAGTAATAATTCAAAAACAGTTTTCTTGTTGGTACTTAGGATGTGACTTGGAGTTTCCGCTTTAAATTTTAAGGCTCCTTTTAACTCTGGGCAATTTTATTCGTAAAATTATTGAAAGAATTGTGCTTGAAAGCTTGTGAATGTGTGATATGCGAGAATGAAGTAGGTGTGCCCCGCGCGTCATAAAGTGGAAGACTTTTGTTATGTGTTACTCTATTAGATTATTTACGCACTAACTTTAAGGTGTTATTTTGACATTTTGTAGTTTGAGGAGAGATGAGTAAGAAAAAGAACCCTTTGGTATTCTTAGATGTTTCGATTGGTGGAGATCCAGTGGAAAGAATTTTTATTGAGGTAAGCCAAAAGCCAGCTGCTGTATATTTTTTTCTATTCTTTGTGGGAAGAAATTTGAAACTTACCTGATACTAACACTTAACATAAAGGATAAAGATAAAGCTTTTTGTTTTTTTTTTCCAAATTGACAGCTTCTTGCAGATGTTGTTCCTAAGACAGTTGAAAATTTTCGGGCACTCTGTACAGGTATCCTTGAAAATTTTCGATATTCATATAATAATTACATTTAATCTGTGAGCGCAGTTTCGGTGAATTTTGTGCTTGCACTGGTTGTCATATTTTTGTTACAGTGAATCAGTATTGATAAACCCTTTATCAATCATTTGTTTGAGGCCTTTATAGGTTCCTTATATTGTCTCCAGGATTGTAGTCTATGGATACAATATTTAATCATCTCGAAATCTTTTCTTTGACTATGACAAATCACATAAAGCTTGTTTCAAAGTTCCTCTTCTGATAAACTATTTACCTGCATTTACTACCAGATGGATTAACTTCACATTTTTTTCTTGAATTTTCTTTACAAACAAGTGTGGTAGGCTTTGCTTATTCTGAACTGTGTCAAACTGTAGGTGAAAAGGGCATTGGCAAATCTACTGGGAAACCCTTGCACTATAAAGGATCTTTTCTTCATCGAATAATCAAAGGATTCATGGCCCAAGTATGTTACTTTTTCTTTCTATAAATCATTTTAAAAATCAGAGGAATGTTTGTTATGAGGATTGTCCCTTCATTTTTTTGTAGAATATATATCCTAAAAGTTCCTACTTTTTTTACTGATGTCTTACTAGTGATGCGATATTTTAGTTTTAATGACTTATAATTCTAGTTTGCTTCGCATTTTACTATTTCTATCCTAATGTCTTATTTCTGCCAATAGGATGCTGATTTCGTATACCTGCAGTGTGCTAAACATGTATCTTTTTGGTCTAATCTTATATAAGCATTTTAAAATGAACTTTGTCCTTAGGACTTAAACTTAGCTGCCCATTAATCATTAGAAAATATTTCACAGATCTCTAATTTAGTAATTTCTTTGCTGAATATTAATTAATAGATCATAGTGCTATAACCTGATTATTTGAGCCTTGTTTTCAACACTTTGGTGCTTGTTGTTGCTGGTGATTAAATTGGTTAGTAGTCTGGGTGTCTGCAGAGTGACTGAATTTAGAGAAAAACTTGTATTCTCTTTTCTTTGCTTTGTAGGGAAGGTGAGGAGGTGAGTTAATATCAATTAATTTTACCTGTAAAAGTTTGTACCTGACGGCACTAAAGTTGTCCTTTTTTTTTTCTGTTTTATGTTGTTTCTACAGGGTGGTGACTTTTCAAAGGGAAATGGTATGCTCGCACATTCCAATGCATGGAAAGTTTGTTTTATTTGTTTGAGTGAATACAGATCCTTTACTTGACATCTAAATGTATGCCCAGACTTGTAAGGAAAGACCTTTAATTGGTTTGCAGGCACTGGTGGAGAAAGTATTTATGGAGGAAAGTTTGCTGGTAGGCCTTTGCGCATGAGCACCCAAGCGTCGTATGACAGATTAAATTAAAATTTAATCATCAAAGTTCATGTTTCCTTGCAGATGAGAATTTTAAACTGGCTCATGATGGACCTGGTGTTCTCTCTATGGCAAACAGTGGTCCAAACACAAATGGGTCTCAATTCTTTATAACCTTCAAGCGCCAACCCCATCTTGATGGGTATTTAACCTTTGCTTGTTACTTATTTACCTGTTACAACTGGAAAGACGAAACTTATCTATGTTGCTTAGCAATGGATCTCTCATTTAGTTAATGCTTGCAGGAAGCATGTTGTTTTCGGAAAGGTAGTTAAGGGAATGGATGTTTTGAAGAAAATTGAGCTATTTGGAACAGGTGATGGAAAGCCTTCCCAACCTGTAAAAATATCAGACTGTGGTGAAACCTCTGAAAGTAAAATTCAGGATGCTGTTGGGAAAGCAAAAGGTACTACTGTGCTGTCTTAAGCACTAATGTAGTGATTTCTGGATCCGTTGCCAACCTTTCATTAAGTTATTTTCACTGTGGTTTTTCTTTTTCAGGGAAAGGGAAGAAATCAGGAAAAGCTCCTTCTTCAGACAGTTCTGATGAGCAAGCTAGAGGAAGCAGAATGTCTTTGAAGGATAGAAGGAAAAAAAGAAAGAGGAGATATTCTTCATCTGATTCATACACCTCTGACTCTGATTCCGATTCCTATTCTTCAGATTCAGATTCAGATTCTGATGTCTCTGCATCTGAGACAAGTCCCTCTAGTGATGGAAGAAGACATAGGAGAAGGAGGTTAGCAAAAAGAGACAAGCATCAAAGGGGGAAAAAGCAGAAGAATGGGCGAAGAGAGAGGAAAAAAGGTTGGCAAGAAAAAAGATCAAAGCGCAAATCCAAATGGTCTGGTTAAAACCTAGTTTCAAGGACAATCCTCCAAAATTTTGCTCCTCTTGCATGTTATTTTGTTGTTTTGTTGATAGTGGCTTTATTTCAGGAGTTCAGATAGTTCAACTGACAGTGAAAGTGAGAGTACAAGCACTAGCAGTGTCAGTGATGATGGAAAGGCTGGTTCTCGTCGCGTTTCTACTCGTAGCAATCGTATCTCCAAACTTGCTGAAAATGAATCTCTGCAGAATATTGGTATTTCCATCCTTTATTGTTTTAGCCTCTAATTTTTTCCATTTCTTTACTCTAGCTTTCTGCACACTCTCATGCTTGAGTCCAGTGACACTTGAATTTGGGCATTGGCTTTTGAGCAACACAAACTCCTTTAAATGGGGATTTGTTACACTTTTACCCAAATCCTTGCTCTTGTTCACCGATCGTGTAAAGATACCTCAGCCTCTAATTTTTTTCCAATTCTATACTATTTATTAGTATAGGTGACATGCAACAGAAAAAAATGCTTAAATGAGAGTGGTATTGTCAATAGATTCTGTGGGCATCCTAACATTGTTACTGTGGGAAAACTAACAGCATATTGTGATGTTATAGATGTGGAGAAACCTGTGCCAAGCCAACTTTCTGGAAAAGATGGTAACGAAGGACTACAAAGGAATAAGTTAAAGGTAGCTGAGGACAACTTACATGAAGTAGGTGAATTGTCAGCAAAAAGTGATGAGCTTCCCAACAATGGTCATGGCAATAAGGCTGCCAACCAACACAATGATGTAGATGGTTCAGACAGATCAAGGTTTATGTTTTTATTATTTTGACTTTTATGTTTGCTGAAATATGCTTTGTAATTTCATCAACAATGTTTCTTTTACCATATGCTTCACAGAAGTGTAAGTCCAACCCGTAAACCGAGGCCAAACAACAGCCGTAGAAGCAGCCAAAGCATGGGTCCTCCGAAGGATGATGTTAGAAGCCCTCCCAGGAAATCTGGCATGCCGAATCAGGGTAGGACTTCACGTAGCTCAATGAGTAGTCCTGCAAGGAAAGCCCCTGCATCTAACCAAGGGCGTGTTTCCTCAAGAAGTCCATCTCCAGGTGGCACGTCAAAGCGCGTAAGAAAAGGTCGTGGCTTCACCGACCGCTATTCCTTTGCACGTCGATACCGTACACCTTCTCCTGAGTGTTCCCCACCCAGATCCTACCGATATGGTGGAAGAAACATTCCAGAAAGAAACCATGATAGGTAATCCCAGTCTATAATTTGACTAAAAGGATGCCATTGTTCCCCATTTCTTAAATTTTAATGTCATTTTTTTTTTGGTGAAGATATTCAAGTTATAGAAATCATTCTGATCAATCAACCCGTAGACGTTATAGAAGCCCGCCAAGAGACCGTAGTCCCCCCAGGTTCTCTCTCTCTCTCTCATGTATTATGCATACCTTGTCAAAATAGTCTTGCATAGCTGTAAAGTTTGTCTACTTTCAGTGCATTACACATCGATTCATTCTGAGATGGAATTTGTTATCTGCAAGCAGCCATTGCTCTAGTCATTGTCTACCTATTGTTTTGCATTATTATTCATTACAAGACTCAAATCTGTTTGCATCTATTGGTCATTGCTTCATCTTGATTCTTGCATAACTATTCCAGTATATAATATTCATAACTTTTGATATAAGCTTTAGTTACTCGAAAATACTTTCAAAACTAAAATATATACTCAGACAAATTAGTTATCAGCTTCTAAATTTGGGTTATGATGTGTGATTTTTCTATCAAAAGTTTCCTAATTTATGCTTGAGCCATCCAACTTCTATTTATTTTATCTAAGGGACACATCATTATGGAATAACATTTATTCCATTAATTTCTGTGTGAATTCACTAGTTGATGCGAAGTGGAAAAGAATGCTAAATTTAAGAGCAAACTTTTAAATCACACAATGTAAAAGATGAGGAATACTATTTATAAACTCAAAAAAAAAAAATCCAAGAAATAAATGTCAAATTGATATGATTTATAAAGCTATAATTGTAAAGAACAATATAGAAAAAGAAAAAAATGGGAAAAAAAGTGAAATGCATATCCATATCATCACATGAATTATGAGCTGAATAAGTTAAAATGTTGGACCATCCATTAATAATCTAAGTTTGTATATTTCAGATCTGCAATTGATATTGTTCTTTGTCCTCTATGATTTCTTAAATTTTCTAGTGAGTGAATATGTTGTATTTGACTGGGAAATAATTTATATAGTTTTCTTTTCGTTTGCAGATATGAACGCAGAAGGAGTAGGAGCCTTTCTGGCAGCCCAGTTCGTTATGAGGGAAGATACAGAGATCGTAGACAGAGGCAGAGTCCTATTCGAAGTCCTAGTCCTAGAGATAAACGACCTGCCATAAGTGAGGGGTTAAAATCTCGTCTTCGTCCTCAAATTGATGATCAACGCTCCCCACACAAAGACAAATCAGGGTTCAGGTCCTCTAGGTCAGGGAGTCGTGGGTCTTTACATTCAAGATCTCCTGGTATCTCCCCACCAATAGATCGCCGCAGAAATTCTCCGTCTCCTAACATGTCAAAATCAAGCTCACCCTCTGGACAGGGAGGATTGGTGTCTTATGGAGATTAAATCCATGCCTCTCATTTACATTTAATCCATCAGGGTAAGAAGCATAACTAGTTGCCTTGATTGTGTTTGGTTTGCAACTCAAGTGGGAAGAGTTTGGGAGGGCATACAATTTTTATGCAGTTATCAACTTTGAGATGTGATTAGATTGTCGATTCGGGATTGCAAAATAGTTCAAGTTTTTGTTTGGCCAGCTACTTAAGACTTCTATAGCTTATCTGAAACAGCAAGAGACTCATACTTGGCGTTACATATGCTAAGAAGGCTTCAAACTTTAGCAATGCTTATCTGCAGTGCAATTGTTTTCTATTGTGATTTCCAGTGCCAGTGGCTGTCAAAGATAGAACAGAAATAGTCACTGTTTGGCATGATAACATGAATCTTGATAAAGCTGCCTATCAATCCTGTTTGCACCAGAAATTTTCCGACGGACGATCCTTTCCACGAGCAGAAATAAAGTACATTGCAAACAATTTAGAGCGACTAAGGTCTCAGTCCAAGGTCTCATTTAGACGTGCATTGAGGTGGATTGCGGTGAAATTAAAAAAAATAATAATAATAATTATAATTATGATTGAAAGAAAATTTCAATGAAAAATTTTTACTAACGAATATTATTGAAATTAATATTTGAATTTAATTGATAATGTAACGAGATTAATTGCATCACACTGAATCACGGTAAAATCCAAATGGACATTAAGAAAACTCTGGTAATCCATTAGAAGCAAAATATTAAAACCCAGAAAATTTTGGGAGCCAAATAATGCAAGCGCAACAATTCTACGTGGCCAACTTGGGGATGAGACACCAGCTTCACTTCGAAATAGCGAAAGAAACAGACAATGAAAATGCCTTTGCAGACACAACCATTTTGCCAATTATCCTCTAGTTTGTTGCAGAAAGTTAATTCGGTACATGAAAATAAGCTTAAAGACCAGAGTAGGAAAAGGGTAAATTACTTGATAAAAGTAGGTTTATTTAAGAAATGCAAAACGCCCATGTAGCTAGAAGTTGTCTAACAAATGATACAACCAAAGAAGGCAACTTGGCAGAACAGCAGCTCCAATCTCTCTTAGATCGGTTGACCTTCTGGTACAATTTGATCTTTGACCCACATGTAGATAGGTACCAGTACATAATACGTTGCTGCCATGGCACCCAACATGAAGCGCAGGAGAAATACAAATGGATTTACCGGCTTGGATACATCCTCTGCCTTTGGACCAAGCTGCACAAGAGTACACGGTCATTAGGAAAGAACTCATATCCTGATGACAAGCTAAAATTAATTAAATACAAGAAAGATTTAAATGATAAATGCCTCGTGAATTCCTTTTCACCAGTCAGGACCAAATTCAAAAGGATACAACATGAATTTGTCGTAAAAAGAATTATTTCAATTAAAATGTCATGCCATAACTCAATGTTGACAGTTATAAATATATTACAGAGGTTATATTGGAGGCAGTAATGAACTTATTAGCACAGAAAAATGGAGTGCGTGAGCCCTCAAATTAACCAAGATATCTGTCTATACTAAAATTGACAGTCTATAATCCAATATCAGTGATATTGGACTATGGGTGTAATTGAGCCGAGTCGAATCGATACAGTGAGAAGCTCGAGCTTGACTCCTAACTCGTGGCTCGATACTTGGCTCGAACTCGATCAAATTTTATTTTCTTAGCTCGAGCTCGATTCGTAATCAAAATTGAGCTACTCGAGCTCACTCGATTAAGCTCGATTAATATATAAAAATAAATTCGATTTGTATACTCGACAAGAATTCGATTATTTATACTCGAATTCGAAATATTTTATAAATTAAAATAATAAAAATATATTTAAATGTAAAAGCTCGATTAGGCTTACGAGCTACTCGAGTTGGGTATAAAAATACTCGAACTCGACTCGATCGATGTAATAGTCGAACTGAATTCGAATTTTATTCGAATCGAATTCGAGTAGTTTGCGAGTACTAATGTATCATTTACACCCCTATACTGGACCAAGAAAAGACTTCATATAGCAGACACAAATCTGCACAGTTGATTATGGAATCAGCTCCGTACGTCTATAGCTCTGCAGAATGATGCAGCATTCCTTCTGTTCACTTAATAAGATAATCTTATGGACTAATGAAATCAGTTCCATACTTCTATAGCTCTGAAGAATAACATTGCATTCTTTCCATTCCCTAAATCAAGCATCAATTAAAATATTTTGAGTGCCATGAAAATAAAAGGATTTATTTTAAAAATTGGATATCTAAGACCTGCATTAACAACCCTCATACCACTTATAATTATTCATGATCAGGACTCCCTAAATGGCAGCAAGTATAGTTTCTGTCTTAAAATAATTACTAGCATAGATTATTAATGTCAGAATCACTTTTATAGCTATTGCTAAAAAGGTTACTAGTACCGCATTTTTGTTTTTCAAGTGAACTTGTAAGTTCATTCTTCATATTAAAAAAAAGATAAGTAACATGCAAAATTGAACAAAGCATAAAAGAATAATTATATGCTTTTAACTAACATGATCGCACACATAAACAGACATGCAGAGAGTAATTTACAATGACTTCATATCATGAAAGACAGATGGGGGAAGGGGAGTGAGTGATGGTTACAAGCACTATCGGAAAAAGTATATCCATTACGTGCCAATGTAAATTAATTTACTTATTGTTGATGGGTGACTGAGAGTTTATTCTGAGGAAACAAACAAGGGAGAGACAGAAGTTCAACAATCTGGGAGAAAAGGAAATTGAGGCTGTTCCAATGAGTAACCGTAGCTTGTGACTATGAGTCCTTAAACTGAAGGCTAACATAGTTATCTAACAAAATTTGAGGGGAACCATATACAGTACCTTACCCCAGATTTTGAATCCTTCGCTCATAATTCTGAAACTATGAGATACAATACAAGCAAACATGAGTCTATGGCCAACAAACAGAGCTTATAACTGCATCTCTATGTAACCTTGAACATGAAAAAACCTATAAATAGGGGGGAAAAATTAACTGAATGATGCAGTGACCAATTCAAAAAGTAATTACCTGTAAAGGAGAGTCCCCAGATGCAGGTTTAACACCGGTTACAGAGCACCCCATGATCAACCCATGTCTGCGAACTCCACGATACCATTTAGGGCCAATCCTTTTGAGTTGCACATCCTTAAATCCAGCCTTTTGAAACCACTCGATGTACTCTTCCTCCTTAGGAAAAAGCATCCAAACATCTGCAAAGAAGCGTGACAACCAAAATGTAGGGTACACAGGACCAATTAAGCAGGCTTTTCCTCCTAGTTTCAACACCCTGTATGCTTCCTTGATGCCCCGTTGTGGTTCTGGCCAGTACTCTATGCTGAAAGACATAATAGCATATTCCCAGGCAGAGATATTATCAAGTTACTATCACCTCCATTCTCCCTTTTCTCAAAATTCAAAACAAATCATCCATGCAAAACAGCTAGGAAATTTTGCATACTTTTATTCATGTAGATTGTACTCTGAGATGCCCCAATGGACAGTATCTTTTAAAATCATTTAGTTGGAAATTTATAGAATTATGACTACCGATAAAGGTGGATAAAACGGACATGAACCAAGAGAAAAAGAAAAAAGAAGCATTCATGCACTAACATTTACTTTCATCTATATTTGCTTTGATACCATTAGCATGTCAATTGTCAACAACATATCAAAGAAGAAAGAAAAATAAAAGTAATCTATAATGCAAAAACCAATTAAGCTATCCTGCATAACAAGGAGCGTCATCCAACCATAAAATAACCAAAATTTTTTATCTTATTGTGAAAACATATACTTAGTGCATCTCAAGTAAACAAATAGTTCCATATACCAAAAGGGTCGGAAAAAAAATACCTCCCAGCTGACACATATCTATCAGCATAATCAGTAGGAAAGGGGAGATCTTCTGCATCACCTTCAATTATCTTGCACTCCTTCAGAGGCTCCTTCTGCTTAGCCTTGGCAAGCTGATGCGGAGATTGGTCGAGAATTGTAACATTCTTAGCATCCACATGCTTAACAATACCCAAAGTAGTGAAACCAGTTCCACCACCAACATCTACAACTATCATGTTTCTGTTATTGAGATCAGCTGGCTCAAGTGCATCATCTCTCATGTCTTCAGTCCAATGACCTGGGTTTATCACATGGTCATAAACAATTGATAGGAATCTGTAGAACCAAAAAGCCTCTTTTTTGTGTTGTATGAATCTTTGTTGTGAAGCTGGCCTTGACGCTGATAAGCTGCACTTCGGAGTCATCGTTGTTCCTGGCCTGGAGATTCTTGCACTAGAGACTAAACCCACATTGGAAAAGTGTTTCCCATGAAAATCTAACCCCAAAAAACCAATCTTTTTTGGAGTTACCCCTCTGATGAGAGTGAAGTTTTCTGCTCCATTCAGCATAGAAGAAGCCATTGATTAGGCAACCAAAAGTTACCCACAAATTAAAAAGTTGCAATCTTTAATGGGAGTTGAAAGATTTGAGCAAATACCAACTATTAAAACAAATATCCACCAGACAAATCTAGCTGTTGGTTCTGTAATGGATTGGGTTTAGCCTATTGATCAGTTGAAGAGAAGAATCAGCTAGAAATAACGTAGGTAAATATCTGAACGAGATTGGACCTAGGCACTAAGTTATTTGGGCTAGCCACTAGCCTAGTAGGTTTTACTAGTTTCTGGTTTTCTGCAACTTTGGTTGAGACTTGAAACTTGAGTTGAGAGCCACATGTTAACGGACACCACAGGATTTGGACTGGACTCTGGTCTCTGGCGCATTCAGTCCAAAGAATTACAAAACTGTTTTTTTTTTTACTGTAATTCTTTTTTTGGTTTATTATTCTGCCTGAATTATGTATTATGTTTGTGACTAGGAATTAATGATTAAAAAGCTTTGAGAAATGAGAAACAAAAATAATAAAAAAAAGACAGCGTACACTTCAAGGAAATCAGTATTGCCATTAAAAAAACATAACAAACTTTGTCTTTTGTCAATAGGGCCCCTTACTTTCATCTTTTAATTGCCAGCCGTCTCACCACCACACATTAAATTTTGTTATGATGCAATACTGACTAAATAATTGATTCGGTAAATTATGTATTTGTATTATATAAAATAATAATTTATATATTTATATTATATTTTATATAAAAATTACCTATCATATTTTATGTTAATATAAAAATATGAAATATATTTTTATATTATTAAATTTATTTATAATTTTTATTAAAATTTTAAATTATATTATTTTCGTATATTTTATTTATATCATTTTTATTTCATGTCATTTATTAAATAGTAACTAAAATCCATTACATTTTTCTTTCATGCGTATTTGTATTATATAAAATATTAATAATCTATATAATTATATTATGTTTTATATAAAAATTATATGTTATATTTTACATTGATATTAAAATATGAAAAAAAATTTTATTTGATTAAATTTATTTATAATTTTTATTAAAATTTTAAATTATATCATTTTTAAATTTTTTATTCTTATTATTTTTATATTATTTCATTAATTATATTTAAAATTATCAAATCTAATAAAATAGAACTAAAATCCATTGCATTTCCCCTTCATGCTTTCAAATATATACATATATATATATATTCTTTTATCTAAATACTTTTCTTCTTTTTAATGGGAAGAGAATATAAGAAAGAAATATTATGAATTTTCAACCTTTCATCTTCACGGTATTCGATTCTTTTGCATAAAAGTTTGAATAAAAATTAAAAAAAAAAAGACTTATTTAACTAAGCAAGAAATATGATTAATGATTTTATGGTTTAACTTTTTTTCTTCAGTTTCATTTTTTATTCTTCAAATTAATCACTACTAAAGAGAAAAAAAATTAAAATTAATTAATCAAAAGATAAATCAACCTACAAACAAATTAATAAAAAAGATAAATCTAATATAAAATTAGATTAAATTCGCAAATGATAAAACTTGAATCTAATATTTTTCTTATTCTAAAATCTTCTCCTTACTAAAATTTGATTTCATGGCTTCTTTTATATTTTCTTTCGCCTTCCAATTTCAGTCTATCAATGTAAAGTTAGTTAAGATTTTAAATTCAAGTGCAAGTATTTTCTATAAGATAACAATTAAGCAAATTATAGGTTTTGCCATCTTTCATTTTTTTTCTCTCTCTCTTTGGTGTTAATAGCTATTCAATTTGTATTTTATAGACAGATCGTTCCTCTCTAAATTTTAAGGCCACTATTCATTTTAATATAAAAAACATTTTTCCAGTGAAAATGTAATAAAACATTTTTCCAGTGAAAATGTTATAAATGTAAACAGAAATTGAAATTTCTTGTTTTTAACAATTTCCAAAGCACAAGAATTTCCTCTAGTTTGGATTTGGGAAGGCAAAGACTCAAGGGCCATGAGACCATGGCGTGAGCCTTATAACTTAAATTAAATTGACTAATCAAGCCCGAACGGGGTAAAGACAATCCCTTTTATCAAGAAAAATATTGAATATTTTCCTTCTTCATTCATTCCCAACAGGGTGTGCATTGTTTTTGTCTACGCTCAAGAATCATCGCAGCTAATCCCCCTCTTGGCATGGCAAAGACAAGGCAAACCCTCATCTTTGAAGAGGTTGATGATGCCTCTAATAAATGATTTGTTAGAATTATGCCTCTAATATTTCACTGCTATTTAGATCCTCTAGCCACTACTATTATGGTTCATCAAGCCATAGGAATCCCCCTATGTCATGCATAGAACATAGCTCCCCACCCTAACGACATACTAATATTTTATTTTGTTATTGTTTGGCCAATAAAAACATGTTCTAATTGTCTAATTTAGGCATAATTTACAAGTATAAAAGACGCAGCCAAATAGTCATGACATGTGTTTAATGGTAATAATGTAATGGGAAACGTGTATATAAGTTATAGTCCTTTTATACTAGCAGAGATAATGTCTTTTTTTGGGGTAAAAAGGTGAATCATGTGACATTTTTCTATATGTAATTTCAAAGAAAAAAAATCCTTGACTCTCTCTCTATTACCTTATTCTTTTTTTTTTTTATTGAATGCGAAATACTAGGCATGCATCCAAATCCTAGGCCTAATTTCATTGTTTGCTCTCCTACAGATTATCCAAACCTAACATTGGCCGGCATTTGCAGCTCAACACTGTTCATTTCAATTTTCAAGATTCCCAATACATCTTTTCTCTCTTCCATTTTAGTTTTGTCTTCAGTATCTCAATTTGTCAATGATTTGTTGAAAAAGGGGGGCGTGGGATTTTGATCCACATTTTTGTTACTCATTTAGATAACGCCAAAGTTCATTGAAAGCAACATATATAATATTCTAAACGCAAATAATGTCAAATTAATTTTCTCATATGGTGCCTTTGAAAGTATCATACAAGCCCGAATAAGCTCCAATCAAATTTCGTCAGGAATTCCATTGCTCAGACTTGCAACTGTTGGATTCCCCGCCGTATCATGAAAAACTAGAAAAAAGAAACAACTCACATCTTAACTTCTTCTATTGAGACTTTTATGAATCTCATTCTCTTACTCGCCCTAAAAATGGCACATTTAGCCCTTAAACAGCGAAGTCCACATGCCCAAAGACATAAACACACCAAGTTCATAGAAGTGTTTTTGCAACCCTGCCGGCTTATACGACAAATTTACAAAGAAAAGGACATTATCCAGGCATGATACAGCAAGTTTTGAAACCTCTCCGCCCACAAAGTTGCTCTATATAAACACTTTGTTGCTGCTCCTCTTCTCTTCAATCCTGATTGTGCTTTGCATCTAGATATTAATTGCTGTCAAACCGGACTCCGTCCAACATAAATGTCTCTGCCGGAGAACTTGCAGCCTGATCCGGCAAGCCCAGGCTGGTTGAACAAAGGTGACAATTCTTGGCAACTCACTGCAGCTACCCTGGTGGGCCTCCAAAGCGTTCCAGGCCTCGTAATCCTATACGGGAGCATAGTGAAAAAGAAATGGGCTGTTAACTCGGCCTTCATGGCCCTTTACGCCTTTGCTGCGGTCCTTGTTTGTTGGGTGGGGTGGGGATACCGAATGTCTTTCGGGGACAAGTTCATTTATGTCCTAGGGATGCCCAATGTTTCATTGGACGCACAGTATCTCATCGAGCAGGCCTTTCTTGGCTATTTACCAAATGCAACCATGGTCTACTTCCAGTTTGTGTTTGCAGCTATCACCTTGATTCTGATAGCTGGGGCATTGCTTGGAAGGATGAATTTTCTTGCATGGATGTTGTTTGTGCCACTCTGGTTGACATTTTCCTACACTATAACTGCCTACAGTATTTGGTGCCCTGATGGGTGGCTGTCTAAGAAAGGCATTATTGATTATTCTGGAGGATATGTCATTCATTTATCTTCTGGTGTAGCTGGTTTCACTGCAGCTTACTGGGTAATTACCATAGTATACAATTACTCAAGGATTAATTTAAAAAAAAAAAAAGCTAGTAATTTAGTACTGTTTGATTACTTGGGTTTAAAATTTTATTTGACTAATTGAGTCAATTGTGGTATATATTGGTGAAGGTTGGACCAAGGACCACAAGGGACAGGGAGAGATTCCCACCAAACAACATCCTGCTGATGCTAGCAGGGGCCGGACTACTTTGGATGGGATGGACTGGTTTCAACGGGGGTGATCCGTATACTGTCAGCACGGATGCATCGTTAGCCGTCCTTAACACCCACGTCTGCACTGCCACAAGCTTATTGACGTGGCTCATGCTTGACATTATTTTCTTCGGAAAGCCCTCCGTTATCGGAGCCACACAGGGCATGATCACTGGTTTAGTTTGTATCACCCCTGCAGCAGGTACAACCATAAATCATAGTGATATTTACAATATTATCGCATCAATATATTTTAATTGACAATGTATTTATTATCTCTATTTACCAAAAAATCATCTGCCTGTTTAACAAAGTGCAATGCAAGTATTACCTAGGAAAAATTTTGTGATCAAGAAAATTAGAACTTTATATATAATAAAGTCAAATTGCTAATGATGAGAAACCTGCTTAATGCTTTCAGTCTTATGCAATTTTTTGTCTTGATTAGGAGTGGTTCAAGGTTGGGCAGCAATATTGATGGGAATAATATCTGGTAGCATCCCATGGTACAGCATGATGGTCCTGCACAAGAAGATATGGCTCCTCAAGCAAGTTGATGACACAATGGCAGTGTTCCATACGCACGCTGTAGCGGGCAGCCTAGGAGGCATCCTGACCGGCTTGTTCGCGGTGCCTAAGCTCAACCGACTTTTCTACATGGTAGATGAATGGGAGCACTACATCGGTCTTTTCTACGGATTCCATGAAGGGCGCTTCAAAGCAGGGCTCAAGCAGTTGGGTATTCAATTGCTAGGAATCTTATTTGTAGTGACCCTCAACATAATCACGACTAGTGTGATATGTTTTTTGATCAATCTGGTCGTTCCACTAAGATTAGCTGAGGATGAATTGCAAACTGGGGATGATGCAATCCATGGAGAGGAAGCTTACGCACTGTGGGGAGATGGGGAGAAATATGAATCTAAGCTGAATTCTGTTTGTGAGGAATTCCCACCACCCGCAAAAGCTGGTGAGGTTCAAATGGTTTGATTTGATGGTGCTTATTAAAGACATTGTGGGGGATTGAACATGTTGTAGAGGGTCTAAAGCATTGGCGCCCAAAGCTTAACTTGTCTAAATGTTTGTTTCCACTTTCTTTCCGTTTTGTTCTTTGTCCTTTCCCTTTCGCAATGATTAGACTACACACAAATGGGAGGAACCAGAAAGGTGAAGAAGGGAGGAATTATATAACTTGCAGATGATGGGAAGATGAATTTGATCAATGTACACTCATCGATAGAAATAAGAACCTTATACCACTCTTCACTCTTGTACTTGATGAATGCAATCATTTTAGTGACATTTCAACTTTGCAATTGTTGTTCGGCTTTTGGCTTGGATTTTGCTAGTCAATTCCCTTTCCTATTCAACACTACTACCTAAGCAATATTTTTCGGCTATAGTCCAAAAATACCATACCTCTATATCTTGACATTTGTCTGTAACACCAAATTGTTTCATTCTTACTTGAAGAAACAACGAAAAAAAAAATACAGAGTTCCTCCAAAAATTTTCTTGTTATCTTTTGAACTTCCCAACCTGATTCCAAACAAAAAATTTAAGATCATTTAAGAAATTGATTAAAAAATTGTTACCATACCAAAAAATACATTTTATGATTAAAACGAATGGATACTTGACATGTTTGCCCATTAATTAGATAACTTAATAGGTAAATGGTAATAAAACATAGATGAAACTTGGACTTACAAAAATTGATGTAAGCATTGATCCTTTTCTACAGCAAAGCATACTCTAATTTATCATCTATATTATGGCTGACGTGATAAATTTAATCTATATGATAATAATTTATTCCTTTGAGAAGTTATGAAAATTGTTTTAGCTTTTGTAGCAGTATCGAAGAAATTACAATGAAGCTAAAGGAAGACATTGAGATGTGGGGGAAAGAGAGAAAAATGTGAAGAATAGGGGGAAACAAAAGCCGAAAGGAATGGTAATGCAGGTGATGTACGACGGTCTGTATGAGTGGATGATGTTAGTAGGACAATCGAAAAAGATGGCAGTGAAAAGGCACTTTGCCAAAATGGGTTGGACAGACCATAAAGCCAACAAACCCCATTTTCATTTTTGCTTTTGCTGTTCCTTTAAAAATTCACCATCTTTCTTTCTGCTGGCCGCCTACCACAATTTCTTCAGCGTTTTCACGCAATAGCAATAAGTAAATAATTATTATATTGTTATAATAATTCTATGCACTCTCACTTATTTGACCAAAACGATGAGGAAAAGAGGAGGGAGAAGGTAAATGATGGAAATGGACATAGTAAACACAGATAGGAAAACAAAATGTGACATGATTTGAGGTTAGAATGGTCTTTTCAAGTTACAAATATTTATTTTTTTTTTTTTGAGAGGGGGCAGAGAAATCGAAATCAGGAAAAAGAACAGCTTTCGAAGAAAACGGTAAGGAAAGTCGTTTACTCGTTTCCTTTTCAGAGTTTTTAGAGAGAAAGAAAAAAAATAAATACAAAAAAAGATCAAAGCTTTGTACGGAAAGCTTCAGATCTAAAGGTTTAAAAGAGTTGGCTGCTTTAATGCAGTGGAAATTTGAAATTCCAAAAGAAGAAGGATAAATAAAATGCAGGAAAGAACAGAAATGAAATGATCTGGAATAAGTAAGTGGCATTGAATTTGAATATTTTCCAGCCAGGCCAGCGCGTACAAATGGAGTCAGAAACGGCTTCGTCGGCAAATGAACACCAAGCGGCTGGTTCAGTAGCTGATACCAGAAGCAAGCATCGGATTCTTGCTGAACTCAAGCGTGTCGAACAAGAATCCAGGTTCCTCGAGGTTGTTTTTTTTTTTCCTTTTCCTTTTCCTGTTTCCTGTTCTTTCTAGATTGTGTTTGTTTTAAGTTATGTTTTGATCTTTAATTCCTTTAGAAATACAGTTAAAAGATTTCACCACTGGTTGTATTTTGATAAATTTAAGAATAGATCGAGAATAAAAAAGCGGAGCTTGAATCTACCTTGGAAAAAGTCTTAGACTTTGTTTTCCTTTTACAAGCTGTTCATTAGCTTTTCTTTAAAAAATAATAATTATGATTCCTATATCCAAAATGGAAGCAAAATTTTCGAGGTTCTTTTAAAGTTTTATCTTTTATGTCAAGTGAGATTATTTGGGCAATCCATGTAGTTGGTGAGTTGAGCTAAGTAGGCGAAGGAGGTGGTGGCGTAGAGCCATTGGAAGAGAATGCTAAGATCTTGATGCTGAAACGATTCAAGGCAGATCTTAAAATTGGGTGGTTAATACTTTTCTTACCATTAGGTGGAATCCCAATTTAATGGACTTTTTGGATGCTATGCTGGAATAATGTTTTTTTTTTTTTTGGGCAAAATTGTAAATCTTGGACTTGCAAGAATCCGCCAGGAATGTTGAAGATATGCCCCGTTCATCAGGCTATACTGATGTTTAGAAAATCTCTATTGGAGGCAGGACGAAGTTCTTGATCAGTCATGTTATGGCCTCTCTGTATGGGATGTGCTAAACTTTCTTTCTTTGTTTCTTTTTTCTTTTCATCTTTTCATTAAATTTACTGATGAGATCACCTTGAGTTAGTCTTTTTGGCATCATAAACACCATGAGCAGAATGTTGTCAATCTTGATTGCTTCCATATGTCATTATGAAGAATTAAGGCAATATTCAGTGTTCAAGTGCTAGTGGAATCTCTATGTCATGACAAAGAGCATTTTGAATTAGTATTTGACTTGCCGGTCTTGCTAAGGTTCACTTTGATTCGTCATGCTTTCCATGAGTTAAATAAAGCAGCTTTTAGCAATGTTTTGCACTTGCACCACATAAAACCTCTCTATGGTGGGAGCTATTTGCCTTTGATTACATTATCCATTAGCCCTTCATAGAAAGAGAGTTGAATATAGAATCTATGAGTATCACTTCATGCATTCACTTGGGACAAAATTTAATAATGCTCTTTTGCTTCTAGGTTGTTTGGTATTTAAATGCTGTGTACTATATCTAGGCTCGTCTAGAAATTCCTAACTAGTAACTAGCAAGCATGTTTGCTGATTTGGAAATTCATGACTAGTCCCATAACGGAGTTGTAGGGCATTGGCTCATAGAGATAGGTTTTTGTCCCTTCCCATTTTTGCCTATCTTTACTGCTATCTTAGGCAGATTATGATTTCACTATTTATGTCAATGAGATTTGTTTACTTTAAGCAATGTCATATTTAGTGATTCAAAAAGTTGCTGTTCTGCTGAAAGGTACCATATTGCAGTTTAGTATGTCTTATTCTTTCTCTCTGCATGTATTTTTTTCCAGGAAGAGATGGAAGAGCTTGAGAAAACAGATAATGTGTCAACACTGTGTGAGGAGTAAGTTTGAGAACTAAGTTTTTCTTTCCCATGAAGTTCCAAAAGTAGAAAGTAGGAGGGGCAGGGTGGGAGGGGGTGTTGGAATCTAAGGGATCGTCATTTATTATTATATTTGCAAAATCCATGAAGAGGAGATCCAAAAATCCTTCTCTTTCTGCAGTCATGTTATTTGGGATTTCTTGATCTAATTTATTAGCTTGTTTAGCTGTCAGCATGCTTATCACAGTTTTGTCACTCACATATTAGTGTGTTGGGCATGATGCTTCACACCTAAGTTGTATGGTATCGTGTTTGATCCAGACTAATATCTGCCTTTTTTCCCTCAGGTTGCTGCTAAGCATGGAGACAATACCTGATCCACTACTTCCATTGTAATTACAATAACTTGGATCGTTCTCATATTTTCTGTTTTAGATCGACTTGCTTTTACCTCTAATGCTTGGATTTATTCTGATTACAGAACAAATGGTCCTATAAACCCATCATGGGATAGATGGTTTGAAGGGCTTCAAGACTCGCAAGGTTGCGGATGCCAGATTCTCTGATTTGTTGCCAAGATATGTTATATAATATACATGTTAACATGTTAAAGCTCAATTGTTATCTTAATAAATATTGAATTGACTCTTTCCACAGTGTGCAATACCAAAATTTTTTTATGGCTTTAATTGAATGTATAATTCACCTTTATGTTCGGATGAAATTTGTATATCAGATACATCTACTGCAGATATTAGCTTCCAAACAATCATGCTTGTGTTTGTTTTTCCCTTCTATTTTCATTTTGGGTGTAGTCCCTCCCCGAAGTATGGATGTAAATAAATGCATATGTATCTTCTGAATCATTAAATGAAAATCTATCGTATTAACTTCCACAATTTCAACTCATTTATGTAGTCATTTCAATTGAAGCTGCTTTCTGTTCACACGAATAGTAAGAAAGCGTAAAGTAGGAGCACTCTACTCTGTTCTGTAACTTGTAAGTTGTAATAAGAAATGGCAAGATTACTTTTATATGCATCAGAGAATTCGGGCATCAGTGAGCTGGGAGTGAATTATCAAAAACTCACAATGCGAGAGTTGTTTCTACATATGATTGATATTACAAAAACAAAATGAAATTCAAAAATTTATTCAGTCAATGAATTCCTGTTATTGGTTCTAAGGTTCAACAAGTAAAACTTGATTCCTCGAAATAATTTACATGTTATATACACTCGGAAGGCTAAGCTGCCGCCTGCAAGAGATTTAGCTGCAATAGCTCACAGATCTCAAAACTGTCATTGGTTGAGCGGCAAGGCACAGAGACACGAACAAGATCATAGAACTTGAGCAGACAAAAGGTGTCTCAGCTGGAGTAGGTGTTCCTCGTCTGAAATGTTAAGGGAGAGGCGGAGATTTGTTAACAGGGACTCCTGCTCCCAAGTTAAAGGACCTGAAGCATACAATGCCTCCACTGTTGACTTGTAAGCATGAAGCTCTAGTTCATGGATATCGACTACTTTGTCAACGGGGGACAGGAGCAAGTCTCTTTTGCCACAAAATGAAGGGAATGATGACTCAGCATCAGAATTACTAGGTGTGTTTTTCAATGATTTATGAGAAATTTGGCCAGCATAGTCAGCAACACCGTTAAAACTACAGCTAGCAACAGAGCATTGGTCACTATCTTCGGTAGACCGAACAGGCCTAGAAGAATCATATAAAGAGTGAGGAGTTGTGTCCTCCATTCTGTTATTCCTGTTAGTTGATCGCTTGATGAATTTTTCATCAACCCCTACATGTGGGCAAGAAATATCATCTACCTGGTTAAATAAAGGGAGTGTTCTCTTAAGAGTTTCATCACAGCCCCTATAACACGGAGGTGATTTCCTTTTCTTGAGGGTTCCTCCAAAGAGCGGGTCCATATTGCATTCTTCAGATTGATGGGCGTAGTCTTTACTTGTGGCTCTCATGGACAGGCACATGGTGACATTATCAGACCTACCCTTTTGTTGTCCCTCTATATCTTTCTGTCTAGATTGCAAAGTTTTGCTCAAATGTAGTGAAGTCCTGAAAAGCAAGCCACCAGCACGGCATGGAATTTTTGGTGTACACTTGTTGGCCAAGTCTCTACCTTGAGCAACCTGCAATCGCATGTCATCTGGTTTAGAAATAGTGGTAGGTTCAACACCTCAGAGATGACTTCATATATGAAGTTTGTTCTTTGATTTTGTCATAATATCAAATCGTAGAAACTAAAAAGATTATTATAAGAATAGCATTAAGGGTAAACTTATCCAAGTAATAAATAGATAGATTGAAGGCAACAAGAATATATTGTCTCAAATATATTCAGAAGGAAAAAGAGTTTATGGCAAAAGCATGATGACTATAAGCCATTACCATCCCGATCACCATCCACTTGTTGTCATGCCAAGCCTGCCTAATCCTTAGGCTTGATGCATAAAATTCCTTAAGTTGGATCGATCCAAAGAACTTAATGACAAATCGATTATTGTTCTTTAGCACCTTTGCGACCTTTCCTACCCTCCAACACTGGATATCAAACACCTCAGCTATATCACCAATTGCCCAACTCTTCCCGTTTACACTTGGAGGCAGGGGTCTAACATCCTTCCCTTGCACCTTCTCCACCACTTGTTTTCCTTCATGGTCCGTAACCAGTTTGTACCTAACAGTATAGTTGTCACCATCTGCTGAAAGTATATTAGCAGTAAACCAGGAGCCACATGAATCATGTTCTCTTCGTAACACCTCCACCGAGTTCCCTTTTCTGAACTTCATATTTGCCAAACTCTAATATGCTTAATCCTGGATAACAAGCGTAAAAAGGAAACCAATGTTAATACGAAGATATCTGAAGGTGTTAACATTAAGGATCAAGATAGATGCTTGCAAATCTATGGCGTGACTCATTAAAAGAGCTAAAAAGATTTAAATTTTGAAATTTATCCACTCGATTCAGCTATAAGAGATGGTACCTTCATTTTAAAAGATGAAATCAGTAATCTTCAAGAACTCCATGTATCAGGGAAATGAAGGTAATTAACAGAGATATAATCAGATCTAATTAAATTCATTAAAAACAAGTATCCAAACGTAGAATATATATGTCATTCTGGGTAAAATAAGATTGATACTACAAACAGGGACATTCCACACCAAACTCAGATGAACTCATGAAAACCAGTTTTTCGTGACAGAGTTGGTCAATCAGCAAACAGATTTAGAGCTACTGAAAACATCAATCAACCCATGTTTTATCAATCCTCAAAAACACCCAGACACTAAATTCAATTTCTTTTTCCTTTTTCTTCATACTTTTAAAAAATAAAACACAAACGATACCAAAAAGACAACACTTACCCAGAATTTAAAATCTTATAATCATAAACTATACTAAAACAAAATTAGAGTAACCCGTACAGAAATTACAATCAACACCGAATTCCATTCAATTCAAAACTGACCTGAGAGTAGAAGAGAAGAAATGATAACGAACAGGACGCTGTTCTGTTGCGGTCATGACCACATCTTTACGCAAAAATGGCTGATTTGCTCCGTCTTTTGATTATTTTTTTAAGTACTACAAAATTAAAAATTACTGCTGATTACTAATAAGGATTATGACCTTGATTTTTGATAGTAACTTAAACCCGTTTTCAAAAATTCGGTACTCATTACGGAATCGGTCATTTTCGGGGTCTTGCCTAATCGCAATTATGGGGACCAGTCATTTTTTTCATAATCTATTTAATATTATCCCTGCTCCGTCTAATGGTTAGTGGTCCCTTTGCGCTTCATAGTATAGTTCCATCGTTTTGGACAAAATCTTTGCCATGTCGGACCTTAAGACTCCATTACAACCTCAGAATTCATGTGATTTATCTAACACGGTAAAACATGTCAAGTCCTAACCTTGTCCTTGTACAGAGTAGTAGGGAGGTTTCAAATCTTCATTTTCTAAAAAAAAATATATATATTTTTTTAGTTGCAAAAGTTAATGACGAGATTCTTATAAAAATCATTAACTATCCATACAAATTTTATTGTTTGACAATTTTAAATGACTCATAGTTTCCCTTGCGAATTTGCCATTTGCAAACGAACATCAAACACTTTGATTTTTCCATGGCTATTTTTTTGTTTTATTAAAATTAAACTAATTCGATAACTTGCAATTAATTACTCTTTGATGAATAATTATCGATAGCCAAACTTAATAGGAGGATTTGGTGAAATCCTACTTCCTATAAGAAAGAAGAAAGAATCCTCTTCAACGGAATTGTTACTACTAATTTAAATCTAATTTGCATCATCGACTAACCCAATAAAATTACAAAAAAAAAAAATTGTTAAGGAGTTTTGATGTCATAAATTTAAATTCGTGAACATTATCATGAAATCTTAATGTAATTTAATTATAAAGATAACTCATTTCAAAAATCAAATGACCAATAACATTAAAAAACCCATATGTAACATCATTTTTGTTTTTTTAAATTGATAGATTAGGAACATGAAATCAAAAATAGGGAGGGGCCCATTCTTCTCTTTCGAGTTGATTGCTTTACTTTGACTTGTTAATGTAAATTACTTAAAAGGCCTTTTTTTATAATTAGTTTTATAGAAAAGTACAAGTGTCATGGATTAAGATTTAAATTTTGATTCATATGATTTTAAGATTTAAATATTTATTTTTTTGATATTTTGAATTATTCTGATCGTTAAGATTTATATCATTATGAGGTATTATTTATTCTGATTCTCCTGAACTCATAATTTTATTTTATAAAAAATATCTTACAAGACAGAAATGATGTAAATCTTTATATATTTCAATAACATTTTTTTTATGTTTGATGTGAGATTCAAGACTATTTTTTATATCCGTGACACACGTACTCCCTAATAAAAAAACTTTAGATTATTTTACTTAGGATATAAGCATCAATTAAGGATATATTTGACTGAAAGTTTGAAATTTTGATGAAATTAAAAATAAAATAATGTGATTAAAATTAGTAATATGATATATATTTGAATAAAAAAAATAATGATGTGTTGAGGTGAGAATCAAAATGATTATTAAAAATATTATTCTAAAAATTTTTGATAAAATTATTTATATATATATATTTAATGCCATTTATATCATTTTAAATCTTAAATTTTATTTTCAGTTAAAATATTAATACATATTATTTATAATTTACCATATAATAATAAAATTTATGTATTTATTATTATATAATAAAAAATATTTATATATTAAATCACCAAAGTTATTTTAATATCTTAAATAAAAAAATCAAATGTAAAACAAATTCATGGATATTTTTGTTCAATAGTTATAATTGTAATGGCAAAATTGGGGGAAAAAAAAAGAGAAGAATTATTGGCAAAATTAGAAAATAAAGAGGCGGTGAGTGCAATTTTTTTCACTTGACCTAAAAGATCCAGTTCAAAACTGGAGACATCAAAATGATAAAACCGAACCCAAAAAAAAAAAAAAAAATGTTCCAATTGCGGGTAATTGGCACGCTCCAGGGGATCCAAATGATCGCTAAAACAAGGGACCGTCCAAGAGGGTAGGTTTAAATTTGAAATCTATAATAACTGTAACTTGTTTTCTATTGTTTTATAAATTTGGCATATTTAATCCTTACTTCGATTCGCCTTTGATAATTGTTAATTAATGGTAAATTCATATTCGTAAAACAACAAATTAAACATTTTCTTTGTTCTCTATGCTTTTTATTATTTCCTTAATTCTTTTTATAAATTTTTTAGATCCTACATTTTTGTATAGTATATAAGGTAAAATATTCACCAGACTAGTCCAATTGATGGTAAAGAAAAAAAGTTTTTTTCTTCGTCAATCACAATATTATTCATGTGAAAATAAAATTTTCAACACATCATATTTATATAAAATAATACATCTTTAAAATTAAAATAAAATAAAAATCACATAAAATCTAAAAATATATCTAACCGTAATTGTATTGTAAATATTATTAATGAATTACCGGGAGAGGAATAACGAATGAGATTATTTATGTATTAAGCGATTGGGTTATGGACAGTGGAGTGATAATTATTGGCGGAGGGAAGAAATGGGAATGGCAGTTGTCTTCGTATTTGTGAGCTGTGAAATCCCTAACCTTATCTTAACACCATCTCTATCTACTGGCTTTTCCGTGGAAACATGTCATTTGTCACTGTCTTTACCTTTTATCCCTTGCTTTGGACACATTCCACTTATTCCTCCGTCACTGTATCCATGGATAAACTCAACATATCATAGGCTAAATAGTTTATTTATTCCTTTGCACCGAATGAATACTTTTTTTTTTTTGTTACACTTTTTACTTTGATGTATAATATTGTTCAGTTTAAAAGAGGATTAATAAATTTTGATTTCTTTCATCAGCTTAAATACGAGATTATTATCATTAATCAAACAAGTGTTGTGTGCAAAACATCCAACAAAATTAAGACAACATGGCATGTTTTTATTAATTAATTTAAAATACGTAATTCATTTGATTAATTTTGTTAGTATCATGCTTAAAAAAATGGGTAAAAAACAAAATTTTAGTTTTTAATTGATTAAAATTTAACTATAATTCAAGCATCAAATATATAAATTAATCTTTTTAAATAGGAAGGATGAATATTTTATTTTTGAAATTTACAAATGAATCTAAAAACCTTCATCTAATCTAATTCACTTTTCAACTGCTATCTAAAAAAAATCATAATGAGTTGATTTTTATTGCAAGGTTATTGAGAGAGACTGATTATGTGGAAGTGACTTTCTATAACTTCTAAAGGGTTTCTCTTTTTCCATTAACGAGTCCAAAAGAAAGAGGGATCAGAGTTCTAGTGATCCAGGAGCCCATTGACTATGGTCGGCGCAGGCAGATCCACAATTCTTGAGTCTTCCGTCTAAACTTTAAAGTGGTCAGAATCGGTGGGCTTGTCCCATTATCTATGATTTTAAAGAAATTTCCAATTTATTAGGATAACGTTGGGCTGCCTTCTATCAACCAGCCTACAAAAGAAAGCATTGACCCAACAAGAAAACATACATCCGTATGATTCCTAAGTTATGAACAAAACACCCAGCCTTCGATCCAAAAATAAAATAAATAAAACAAAATCAGGCGGGAAAAGCACCACTAAATGAAAAAAAAAAAAAAAGAGTTGTCAGCTCAGCTCACATCCAGGACAGTACATTTATTTAATTTCGGCTGTTCTCACTGCACATGGATGACCAAATTAGAAAAATTGTTTTGATAAGGGTAAGGGGGGTTGGTCCAAAATTTATCCCATCCGTACGTACTTAATTACAAAAATAATAAAAACGATTAATGAATGAGGAAGTTGAATATAGGCTGGCAAAACCATTTTTCCAATCCAATATATGCTGAGCCTGTATGACTATAAATTCCCCTATTTATTCCACTGGGGACAACACAGGTTTATGAGATCTAAACCTTAACTACCCATTTTTTTTAATAATCTAATTTACCTTAATCGTAGTCCCAAGAACTAAACCATTGCGTCACCTTTTATGAATTTGGCATAGTATAAGGTATAATTTTCATAGGAAGTCTAAATATTGATAAATAAATCCTAAGTACATGATTATATTAGGGAATAGGGATTATGTTATCAACTTATAGTATAGCTTTTACTGTTATGTGTTATATTTTTTTATGTTGTTTACTACCTTCGATGAAGCCAATTCCAGTTGCAGTTTTGAGAGAGAGAAGGGAGGCAGCCATGTGAAAGTGGGCATCCATCGATGAACCTTTTGTTTTTTTGGCAGTCGGGCTACGCTTTCCCATGCAAACTGGAAACAAATAATTAACCCCACTTTGAGAAGACCTAAAAAATTAACCTAAAGGACCGTTGAGCATCTCTTTTACCATCACTTTCACTTTGTCTTGTTTAAGGCACATGAATTTTATTAATAAACAATCCTACTCTACTGTCTAACGAGAATGAACTCTTTTTGTTTTTGTTTTGGTGGCTCCACCCAAAATAAATACTTTTTTAATTATTGTTTGGTGGGAACAAATTAATAACATATAAATGGACTTAAATTCGATATGATATAACCCTTGGATTAGAGAAATTTAGTTGAGATGAGAGGCAAAGATCTATAGCACAAAAACATGCTTATGCAATGTAGACGTTAAAGTCACGTGCAAATTGCTTTGGAAATTAGAATTTTCCTTCCATTTCATTACCCACATTTTTTTTTTAAAGATAAAGATGAATTATGTGCATGTTATTAGGAGAAAAATGTGCTATCAGATTTAGATAATTGTGAGATTTTGACTATTGTTTGGAATAGCTCTTATTCAACATTTTTTTCAAGTTATAATTATAATAATCAATTATTACATTATAATCATTAAATAATTAACTAATAAAATAAAATATAAATAAATAATTAACTAATAAATTAAAATATAAATAAATAATCAAATGAATACTCAAGATTTTAAAATATTTTTTTACCATTAAATTAAGATCTCATTGATTATTTAATATACTTGAATTAACATAAGAAACAAAAATAAAATTTATTGGCGTAAAACTTTATTATTATGAAAAAGTTCAACTAATACATTAAAAAAATTTTATTATACAAACTTTTGACGCATGGAACTGACTCACACTGAAATCTCAATATGTAGGACACCAGGAAAAATACGGCAAATGCAAATAGAAGCAGCAAACTTTGAAGTGGAAATGAGAGAAACTCAAATGAGCCACAATTTTTTTTATGGCAAAGTATGGAATATATAAATATAATGTCCATGTGGGATTGGCAAGAGAGGAAGCAGAATCCCCATCTCTTCATGATTGATTCATCATTCCCCAAATCCCATTTAGCCCAATCAACAAATTTTTAGCTTAAAATACACAGCAATGCCTTCTCTGAGGCATGAGCATATGGGAGGCATTTCAAAAAAAAATTCAATAGGTGCACATTTTTCCAAAAAGCTTGAATATTCCTCCTACTTCATTTTATTCATATTGGGGGAACCCATATCTTTAAATTTCATAATTTTATAAAATGGAATCCTCATTGTAATTTTTGTCTAAGAAAATTCATGTTTGGCTTAGTAAACTTCATTTATCTAAACTAAATATTTCTAATTTATTTACCAAGTGAGTTTTGTAGATTTAAAATACTTCCCATGATATGACACCAACTAAATAAAGTGTAACATGGATGCAAATATCACCCTTATTCCTTGATAGTGTAGCAGTAATGTAGAGGAAAGGCAGCCGAACTCTATCCAGTTTGCCTCTTCCTTTCAGGACAAAATACTGGCCTGGCTTCCCTAATTACTAACCCAATCGAATTTTATAGCGTATAAGAAGGAATAGAGGAATGTGGAATTAAAGTAGTTCAACACGATAGAAAACCAAGGAACGTGTGCAGAAGAGGAGGGGTCGGTGAGAGAACATGGGAGCTCTCAGATTGGAAGCTGTGCTATATATTTCATGACCACATTCATATAACCAGGACATGGGGAACTGAAGAAACAGGGGTCCACAAACCCCAAACCCTTGTAAGTTTCACTTATTAATCAATTTTACTGGTTTTGTAATTATGGTTTTACAGATCGGAATTAGTGGTTGAGATTTTAATTATGAAAAGCTAAAGATAAAAGGTTTCTGAAGATCTGAAATGCATGTGGACAAGACAAAAGAAAGAGATGTTAGGTCCACAATATATATGAATATTACTATGGATATGGCTTAGAGTTTTAGAAGGATGTAAAAATAGAAATAGGCTCCTTCACATGATGCAACCCGTAAAGGGATTTAGCTACTTCATTCCAGAGACAATTCACATGGGGTATGGCAGCTTGACCCTTTATTACAAGTTTGAAACCCCACTTTATCATCACGAGGCCATGCCAATTTGCCCATACGAGAGAAAATATGCCGCGATAAAAATGGTTGGAAAACTGATGTTTAGTGAAGAATGTGATTTTCCCTATCGTAGTCACAACAGCACTTACTACTAGATTTCTTTGAAGAGGATTGGAGTGGGAAAAAGAACACCTAAAATATTAAGTTTGACCACATGATGCTTTAAATTAGGAACCTTCCTCATTTATGATTTGCATGCATCCAGAACCTGGATTTGATCATTGGGGCATAGGATCCTCAAAACGGGAAGCTTATTAGCTTTTCGGGCTTAGGGATTTGAATCTACATACATATGGCTGGAGTTTAGTTCACTCTTCATGTCGGATTCGCTAGCTCATGTTTACACTGCTCAAAATAAACATGGTTTCTTTTCCAAATTCAGATTCTTGTTTCCTTGATTATGATGCAGATTGAGATTATTGTTAATACCAAGATCATACACAAAATCATTGACTGATATAACGCAAGAATTAAACTAGGAAAAGTGTAAAGTCTTTTATTTCTTAGAGAAGTAATTGTTTAGCGCTACTAGAATATGTAGTTTATTCCAATTGAAAAAAGCTAGGAATTTATGAAACCCATTACAGATATATTGTCTAAATACTATCTACGTATTTACGTAAAAGGCAACTAATGATTTTTACGAGTCTTGTGTTAACGAAATAAGTGAAAATGAGAAAATCTCTATTGACTTTAATCCTTTTTTTTTTTTAATTATACAAAATACTTCAGTGTGACATAAAATAGACGGTTCAAGTGTAACAGTGTATCGAGCTAACTAATTCCTTTAACGCCCTCCATTCTTAGTTTCTTACTTGGCAGGCAAGGCAGCTGGCCCCAGTCTTTGCTCTCCTTTTCACCTGTCGGTACTACTGTATCCATCCTCTTACATCGTGCCACCTGTAAGCACATATGATCTCCTCATGTCAAGCTATCAAAATTGATCGCTTAGATGCCAAGCTCTTCTACGTCCAGTAATGCAGCCACCTATAATGGAAGTTTTGGAACTGCTCAGGCACCGCTTTTTGGCAACCCGTGGTTGGTTGCAGATGTGTGTATATGTTTTTTGTTTGTCTACTCAAGGCTTTGTTTTAGTCTTTGAACTTTGAAGATTGGAAAACGACGGGTTTATTTCTGCTTTTTTTTGTGTTTTTTTTTTCAATTACTCACGGGTTGTACTTCACTAACTATTTATCACCTCCTTCGTTTGCATTGGTAAAGCCATTCTTTTTTCTTTTAACTTCCACTGATGCATCTTCATCTCATATGATATAACCATATCTATATATGCCTTCGTGATTGACGTTAATGGCTTCATTCTGTTATCCATCTCTCCATTTGGATGGCTTTAAATTGATTCGTATGCAGCTAGCGCATTTCCCTACCTGATCAATATCAATGATTAATGAATAATAATGAGCCAAACAGATAGAATTAATTCAATACCAAATTGATGTACAAATACAATTGCCAAACGACATCTCTTAAGGGATCAAGATGGATATAACTACGAAAACTTCAAAGAAAGTGCAATTAAAAGACGCCATCAGAGAAAGATTAAGGCTTAAACACAAAAATTATATTTCATTTTTGAAAGAAGTAACTCAAATACTTAGCTGGAGTATGCAATTGCAATGCATAAACGAGAGAATCAGTGGAAGGGTAATTATGAAAAGAGGTGCTAAGCTCAACTTTAAAAAGGAGAAAGTTTTAAAATTTTAAAAATTTAAATTTGGTTTAATTTTATATTAAATTTATTTAATTATGTGTTGATTTTATTAAATTTTTATTTGATTTAATCTAAATTTTTATAGATATGATATTATTTGATCATGATTATAATTGAATTAATTATATTTTTAATTTCATAAAAAAAAAAGAAGTAGCGGTCGTTCAAAGGCACGAAAATAAAGGGAGCAGGTGAATGACACGTTAGGAGAAAGCATTGCATACCTAGAGCTTCAGGGTCTGTGCGGCTGTGCCACTTAAAACGCAACAAAGTCCTGAAACGTGAGAAATTTACATCCCACAATTACCATTTCCTTATAGATCCCTCAACTGGCTTATAATTAGTACTGTACTAACTTGTCATTTGTCAAATGGTAAGGGCAAGTTGCGTCCAATTAACTTGCCACCACAGGCCCACACCACTGCTCTTTTCCTCAACTTCGCCCACCCTTTTAAAGACCAGAAAGGCGGGAGATGATGCAGGTAGAGGTTGCAGTCACAACCCCACTCAGACACAGAAAAAAAAAAGAAAAAGACGAGAGCAATTAGAGAGAAATAGAAAAGGAAAAACATGGAGAGAAACAATGTGAACATGGAAGTTTAAAGAAAATATGAGTTGAGAGAAAGAAGAGGATTATTGAGTTAAAACGGAAATGACGACGGGAACAGTGCAAGAGCAAAATCTGGAGAAGCGAATAGGGAAACAAATGGGATGCATGGCTGGTTTCCTTCAGATATTTGATCGTCACCAGATTCTTACCGGCGAACGCCCTTATTCCACCAAGCGCCTCTCTCCCATGCCGGTTGGCATTGTTTTTTTTAATGTGGACGAGGAGTATTATTATTGTTATTATTATTATTATTGACTTTTTTTTTTTTTTTCAGGTAAGTGAAACGACATCGGAGCAAAAGAAGATTGAGTCACCAGCAATATCAGGAGAATTTGAGCAGCAGCCACACGTTCGATCAGCACCATCACCGGACCGTTCAAAGCAATCTCCGGTTATATCGGAGCTCGGGTCTCCTAGCCCGGAACCTTCTACTCCGATGGGAAGCCTGAACAAGACATCTCTTCCCCTTCCTATTTTCAAAGTCAAAGAAGGCAGCGCGAGGTCACCATGGAAATTCTCCAAAGAAGCTCCAAGGCTCTCTCTCGATAGCAGAGCCGTCGTTGATGCTAAAGGAAGCCTTAAGCCCCGAGAGATCCGTACGAACGCTGCCATTTTATCTTCGAACCAATGCGAAAGCAACAGCGAAGAAGACGGAGTGGATGATAACGACAAACAAAGGCGGTCGCCCAGCGTAATCGCAAGGCTCATGGGACTCGAACCGTTACCTTATTCGGATCCCGATCCGAATAGAAAAGCAGAGCTCCGAAGATCCGCGTCGGAAGCTAGAGGTAGAGATCTATTTCAGTATAGTTTTATAGACGGAGTTAATTTCCATTTAAAACAGAGCCAGCAACTAAATTTTCAGAGCGGAGGGGTTTCCAGCAATGTAGTAAGAGAAAATGGAGCCAAGCAAGATCATGTAATAAGTAACAAATCAGAAGGCTTAAGAAATGCGAGAACTGAAACGGTTAAAGCTCCGGTTCGAGGAATGGCCCAAAGGAAATGTTTCTATGATTCAGCTGATTTCTTTCCCGAGCCAAAACAGACTGTTTCCATCTACAGAGAGATTGAGAAACGGCTTAAGCTCAGAGGAATCGACGAGCCGTCGAAAGATCTCGAGACTCTTAAGCAAATCCTTGAAGCTTTGCAACTAAAAGGCCTTTTACACACTAAGAAACCTCCAAATCAAACGAATAACAGGAATTTTGTTTATGAACATAAACAATCTCCACTTGTCATTATTAAACCGGGAAGATCACCGGCTTCTGCGCTCAGAAGGATTGGTAACGATTCGACTCCTTTGAGTTATAGATCAAGACCTGGAGCTCACCGGAATTTGAATCTCGAGTCGGTGCCGACGATGAGTCCGAGACGTGATCGGATGGAGAGTGAACATAATGTACAAAGCCAAAGCAGAAGTAGGGGTTCGATTTCTCCGATAAGGAGTGAGTGTGGCGTGAAGAGTCCTAACAGAAGGCCGTTGAGCGTTGAAACGCAGAGAAGAGGGAGTGGTAATATGGAGCAGAGAAGAGTGTCCCCGGTTCAGTCCCCTCGGGTTAATGTGAGAAGAGCCGGGTTACATCAGACGACGAATAGATCACCCAGAAACAGGAAGTCAACTGCTGAGATTTATCAGAAAGAAGAGAAGGTGGTATTTATTCCAGCGGAGGATGAAACATCCACTGTTTCAGAGAGTAGCATTAGCACGTGTTCTCAAGCCGATGCGGAGGTATATTTACTTAATTATCAAATTACACTGGAGATTTGATTAATTAATTTTGTTTTAATTGCCTTAATTCATGTAATGGCATATTGGTTTTTACAGAGATCGAAGGTGGAGGAATACAAGGAAGGGAGGAGCCTCCTGGAAAGGTGTGATAAGCTGCTTCACAGCATAGCAGAGATGACCGCTGCTTCGACTGGGTTGCAGCCGAGTCCGGTTTCGGTACTTGACTCGTCGTTTTACAAGGAGGAGTCGTCTCCTTCCCCTGTTATGAAACTGAGCATCGATTTCAAAGGTTAGAGTAATAAAATTCTACTATTAGTACTTATATCTATTTTGCATATTTATTTTTTTCCCGAAGTCTACGAACTGATTTTGAATTACTAGATTTTGCATTTGACTATGGTGACGCATGTACTATTTGTTAGACGTGATTGTAGTTCAGCCCTAGGCCTTGTCATTACTGGTGAGTCAAATAGTCTCGTTCAAAACTTAAATCTTTTCATGATGTCATATGCTTAGACCTTTTATTTGTTTATTAATACGTGATTACTCAAACGGTTTTAGGATGATTTAATTGGTTTTTTGGGGCATACATATACACAGGATAAAATTCCCAAATTCTTTTTGTTTTTTCTTTTGGATGGGTTCATGCCTGACAAAGATTAACAGGAGGGGAAGAGAATCTAAATGGGGTGGGCGGTACAATCACGTGGGATTGTTTAGTTTTTATCTTTGATGGTGATCGGGGGGGGGGGGGGGAAGAAAGGGTTTTGGTTAGGACGACGCCGTATGTTGGTCAAAATTCAAACAGTATAACAAGGAACTGCTTCTCTAATCAATGAACGGCATAAATTTTGAAGTGACTGGAACCTCGTCCTTTGCCTGCAAAACAAATTTACCTGACGTGGGAAAAGTCTAAAATCTCCGTACTACCTCTAAGCCAAGAGAAAAGAATGTCCTCCGCTAGACTGAACTGATTAATGGCCGTTGAAGGCCATTGCATTTTAGAGCATCCCATGCTGCCTTTGGTAAGTTTAGGAAATGGTCCCACCTCTGTTAATTGTTAAGGGCTTAAAGCGAGCGAAAGCGACGATGAATTTGATTTCTTTTTTATACATCGTATCCTTGTGTCAGTATATATTGCACCTTTGTTACTGTGTTATCCGTACTGTGTTGACTTGTTTCTCCTTCAATCAATCTCCTATGGATGCTAAAACTATTTTGTGATTGGGCAAATTTTCAATCAAACTGAACATGAAATTTTAACATTTTTTTATTATCGTCGGTGAAATTATCAGATCAACTTGTTGAATCAGAGGATGATACGTGGAGTCCTGCAATCTCATCTGCTGATTCAAATTCTGAAGATAAATCAGATGATTGTGATTTTCTCTACATTTCCGATATCCTCAGAGCATCCAATTACTTGCCTGATGACTCTGATGTCTTTTTGTTGCTTGAGAAGCAACAGTATCGCAAGGGGAAAAACACATCCAAAGTCTCCAAACTTCAAAGGAAGCTTATATTTGACACCATCAACGAAATTCTCAATCGAAAGAGACAATTACCACCGTGGAAGCTTATCTCCTGTACAAGTTCAGCGTCTAGACAGGCATCATTGCAACAAATTTGGTCCGAATTCCAAAAGATTCGGGAGAGGGACTCATCATCAGATGACTTGTTTGAGGTCATTTGTGGTGTGTTAAGAAAGGACCTTGCAGGAGATGCTATTAACGGTTGGGGAGATAGCCCCATTGGGATGTCTGAAGCAGTCCTCGAGATTGAACGTCTAATATTTAAAGACCTGATCGGCGAAACCATCCGAGATCTCGCTGCTTTTGCTGGGAAAAGTAGTAAAATCCCAGCACCTCGGAAGAAGTTGGTGTTCTGAAAGTGAGGATGAAAAAGAGAGTGGCCTTTAAAGTATTCTCAGCGCGCTTTCTTTCAGCTCCATTTTTTTTTTCTAATTTTACATATTTTGAACCCCCCCCCCCTTTTTTTTTTTTCGTGTTTAAGAAGTTTGGGAGATGTGTAATCTCCATTTACCTGAAATCCAGGCATATCTAACTATCGCTTGTGCAATTTGTAAAAAAGGTGGGATAACGTTTGTGACCACAAGTGAAAAGGTGTGAGACATCAACCATAATCACGATGGCCATATATTATAATCATAGAAAAGTGAAAGTGACTAGGAAAAAGGTCATTGTTTTTGGCATCTGAGCAAAGTTTAGAACATGAGTTTGGTCCCTAACCGACGGATAATCATACCATTATCCTGTAGCTTTTGCTTTGCATAATATTGGCTGCACCGGTGGTTGTTGGTCATCAAACCATATTCCAGGAACGCCTCACGATGGTCAATTTAGTTAGTCTGTCTTGTCATTATTGACCCTATCAACAGATCGCTCAAAGTTAACAAGAATAAGTGGTGATCCAAGATTTTATAATATATATAATATAATAAGTGATTATTTATAATATACATAAAATATTATTGATATATTTTTTAATTTTATTCGTAACAATGATGTTTAGAAGAAAATTTTGAGATATCTATGAACAAAATTTTTAATTTTTTTTTTAATTTTTAAGATGTCCAAAAGAATATTTTGAAAGTGTCTAACAAAAAGATTTTCTTTTAAATTTTTTAATTTTTAAATGTCTACGATTACCATATAAATCCGGCACAGACTAGAACTGAAGCATTAGATAAGAAATATCATTTCTGCCTTCATAAATCTTCATTGGTGGTGTCTGGGTTAAACATATGGTCTCTCTCGGGGTTGACAAAATGTTAAGTGCAGTGTCCTCGGGTTTGAATTAAATGGCGCAGCTTTGAAAGTTTTTTTTTTTCTTTACATATCTTTTGCTTTTAGATATTTGGCTTCTGTTCAGTTACTGTTTCGTAAACTGATGCTTTTTAAGTTTTTATAATTGTTTTACTTTGTTTCAGACATTGAAAACAAGTGATTCTACAAATTTGTAATGCACTGAAAAGGATGCAACCTAGTTACCGAGGAATGGATCATCGTCCTTCCATGGTTTATTTTGTTTTTGGTTTTGTTTCTTCGGGTTTAAATGATTTTGTCAGCAAAGAACAGCTATGGTTTTACTAGTCAAAACGAAAAAAAAAAAAAAAAGCCTTAATTGTTTTAAGTATGCCAGTGAAAAATTCTTCAATAATGCAAACCCGGTTTCTTGCCTACAAAACCCCCAACACTCTTTAAAAATCTTATCCCAATGAGTTGGTTGATGGGTTGACAAAATTTGCTTTCACTTGAATTTACATTTTGTTTGTGAAGCCCAGAAAGGACAGGGTTTTACTCGGCAAGTCCTTTAAAATTATTTAATGAAACTGTGTTAAACTGAAGCAGGGTCCCTCTCAATTAAGTTCATGAAAGAGTTGTGGGGAGACTTGATGTTAACGTTACTATTTGAGGGGCCCCTTCAATTCAAAACAAAGAAATTGAGTGTGAAATAAGAGGAAGATGAAGACACATCCACGATAAATTTCAGTGGTTCTTTTCCCTTCGAGTGTGGCAATTATAGCAGGCGTGCCATGTTTGAAATCTATTTCCCAGAAAAAAAACAAGGGGGGGGGGGGGGGGGGGGGCCTGAATTATGTTCTGGAGAAGGCACACTAATCCTTTGGCACTAGGATAGGCCCAAAAAGATTAATATATATCACTAATTTTACTATAGCCAAAGTCATTTTTGATTTGACTCAATAATTTTGTAGATGCCAAATTAAGGTATACGAGTGTACCATCTGATAAGGATAAAGTGAACTCTTTGGGGATGAAGAATATCCAATCCTTTGTTACCAAAACCAGTTGCCTCGTTATTTCTCTCACAACTATGGTGACAAAGCTGTATTTTTTGCTATTAAATGGAGAATGGACTATTAAAAATATTATTCAAACACTTTTAAACATTTGGTTTAAGTCATTAAATGCTTTTCTCATCTAACCAAACTCTTTTTTTTTTTTTAATTTTTTCATAGGATGGAAAATGAGGGACAAAAAATGGGCCTTGATCTCTACTATTTATTCCGCTTCATTTTTCCCTTGTGTCCCATGTTCTCATATCGATGGGCCTTCTTAGCACTAAGCCTACCCATTCCACCAACTCTTGCAAGCTGCAACTGTTGATGTAGATAGGGCTAAGGCCCACCTGAATAATGCTGGGTCTGGGGCGTTGTCTCACGTTTGTCACCTCCTTAGTCACTCTAATAATAATAAATTAATCTGGCTAAAAAATTAATAATAAGGAGTAATATCACTAATGATTTATAAATTATAAAAAATATTTAATATAATATTTAAATTTTAAATTTTAAAATAATAAATAAATTATAAATTTATTAATTAATATAATATTCATTTTATTAATTCCAAATAATTACGTACATGATAGATAATCAATATTATAAATATTATATTAATTAATAAATTTATAATTTAAATATCATATTAAAAAATTTTTAAATTTAATATAATATTTAACAAATAATAATAATAATAATTCCATGCTCCCTTACCCAGGTAGAACTCTTTTAAAAACAAAAGAAGCTAAAACCAAGAATATTTTCTCAAAAAAGTAGTGATGGGGTCACTCTTATCCACAAGAGGAGGAGCTTGTCTATTTGTCATTAGGGGATTTGGATGGTGCAATCTTGGCATAGGCACATGCCACTGCTGCAGGCTACTTTTCTACCATCCCATTTGTTTTTTAAAAGTAGTTTCTATTTTTTTAATTATTTTAAATAAATTTATTTAATTATACTTTCTCAAATTAATTCTTCTTATTTTTTAACTTTTGAATTTATAAATCAAAAAGATTTTAAATGTTTTTAGATTAAAATTTTTTAAAAGTTTTCGTTTTAAACCATTAAAATCAAGAAAAAATTCATATACTGTAATCGGACATTCTTCCTCTTAAAACAATAATTTTTATTTATCAATTTGTAAATAAATTTTATAATTATTTAAAATAAATTATATTTTCTATAATATTATGAAAATTTTGAAATATGAATTTTTTGTTTTGTTGGAATCTCAAAAAATTAAATAAAATTTTATTGTTAAATTAGAATGATATTAATTAAATGAGTTTTGTTGAAAATTTTAAATTTTAAATATAATTTTTTAAATTTATTGAATTTATATATTTGATAAATTTTTTAATTTATAAAAATTTTATATTTTAAACTTTTAAAATTGAAATAAAAATAATTAAATAATTTTTAAAAGGTTTTTAAAAGGGTGCAAATAAAAGTTTTTTTTTTTTTTTAAATGAAAGAAGCCATTGATCCTGTCCAATCCTTGTCAGCTGTAAGGTACGTTGACATCGTCATCATCCTCGGTGGCTCGAAGCTATCTCCTTCAAATTTTACTGAGACGGATGATTGATCCATGCAATGAAACTTGATCTATCATTGTCCATAGCTTAGAGGCTCAGAAAATGAAAGAAAGCACTTGCTCAAAACCTTGGTCCGCGAGATTCTTAGATTTTAAAAGGAAAAATAATATAAGAAAAAATTGATATCGGAAGAAAATATATGATTTTTAGATTTTATTAATTTAGAAATTTCAAATTTTTATGTTTGATTAAGATTATTTAACAAAATTTTTTATTATATTATTTTTTATATTATGTAAATAATACATAATATTTATAGTATTAATATATAAATAATATGTGATATTAAAAAATATTATTTTTGTTAAAATTAAATAATTTAGAAAACTTTATTTTTAATAAATATAATTTTATAATTTTAATTATTATTTTAACGTTGATTATTTCTATAAAAAAAAAAAAACACATGAATTAATTTATAATTTTTATGCATCAAAACTTTTTTTTTTTCGAACCAAAAGTTATCAAAACTTTTATTCCATCAATAATTAGTTTGTTCATCCCGTAGCTGAAGTAGAAAAAAAAAGACAACATACTATTTCCTAGAGACTGGGAGTTTCGAAACTTGAATATAAATTAGATATACGAAACTTCATTATTGATGGAATATATGTATGTATATGGATTGTGAACCTTAACCTTAAGCATACTACAAAATTTATTAATGAATAGGTTACCAAAATTTTTCCTTTTTTAATTCCTGAGGAAGAGGAATTGAACCTCATTCTTTGAATATGTGAATACATACACATATAATTGAAACAAATGCTTTAGATGTATGTTACAAAAAAATTGTTTACCAACCAATTGATTCATGTCCACTGCAGAATTAAAAGAAAAAAATACATAAACCAGAAATATTTTCACTTGATTTTTAATTTTTATAGAAAAAGAAAATTTTAAAAGAAATAAAATTTTCTTACAATGATTAATTCAGCCGATGAGAAAAGATTAGATAGTTATTTTTTATTTATTAATTAAAGTACGGTTTTTATAAACAAAATATTTCGAAAATAAAAATTTGAAAGTACACAGAATTGTGGATGGAAAATACACTTTTGAGATCTTCAAAAAAAAAAAAAAAGAATTAGGACAAAAGAAGATGAAAAAAAAAAAAAAAAGGTTTTGTTCCTACAAGAAAACATAGTTGAATTACCTCTCCTTTTAAACCTTTTTATGGGTTTGGAAGGATATTGGACCTTGGGGCTTGGTTTACTTCGAAGCCTACGATTTGGGCTAAATTGGAGCTTGCGACATTTACGTGTATCAGAGTCCGAGATGTGTAGATCTGAAAAAATTGGATCCCAAATGGCACCGAGCTGTTTAGTTGGTTTTTGTGTTGAAAAAGAAAGAACTTTCCGAAACAAGAATTGCTAGAAATGATAGAGGGTAAAAGAACGGTGTCTTTCCGTCTCAGTTACTTCTCATCTTTCTTCTTCCAATATTTATTATATCATTAAACTTATGAAACTTATGATGATTTAGCCAAAATCTG